TTTGTTTGTTAGTGTCCTTTATAAACTGTTGTCTCCCTTGCAATGAAGCTTTTGGTTTAGTTTGTGATGCTATATGCTGTTGGGATCGCTACTACAACTGCGCAGGAAGTAATCGTGGTGCGTAGGAGGGCGAGGCTTGGGTTCCCGGCGGCGGCGAGGATGCGACACCGTCCTGTTGGCCGGCGTCATGAGCGAGAGAGCGAGGTTGAGTGCGTGCGCGCGCGAGAGAGAGAGCGGGAGAGATTGCAATCAATCTCCAGCTGAGTTTCTCATTAACCAAGTGTTTGGGCTTTATAGCCAAATCGTAACAAATCACAAACTGAATAACAATTCCAAATCTGAGATCCTATAATCTAGGAACGGCGCCCACTCTGGACGCGATCACCACGCTGAGCCGCGCGCCATGCGTGTCGCCTGCGCACTCAGCCACGGCGGCTCCGCTTATGGCATTGATACACCTGGCCCACCATAACATATGCACTTTTGCGCTCTGCAGGCAGGAAGATGCTCAAGAGTTTTTAAGTTTTGCCATGGATAGAATGCATGATGAACTGCTGAAGCTTAATGGCAATGGATCAAATTCCAAGGAGGGTATGGTTGTTTCTTCTGTGGATGATGATGCTTGGGAGACAGTTGGACGAAAGAACAAATCTGCAATAGTTAGAACTCAGAGTTTTGTTCCCTCTGAGCTAAGTGCTATTTTTGGAGGGCAGCTACAGAGTGTTGTGAAAGCTGCAGGTAAATTTTGTCTTGTCCTGAGGGAGATGACTCAGTTTTTCTGTAAACAACTGTATATCTATCTAGCTATATCTCTTTGAAAGAACTTGGAAAGTTGTGCTTTTTCAGTTTTTCTTGATTTGTTATGCCCGCTTCATGTTTCCATGAACACATTCCCTGTTTATCTGGTTGTTGTCACCTTTTGCCACCTGCTGTGCATGCTGTCATTGCTTTTTTTCGTCTCTAACCAGCCCAATATCAGGCTCAATACTTCATGTTTCAAGAGCATTCTACATGTTGTCGATTGATGAAGTGTCTGTGTTAGCCCTTTGATATAATGAAAAAGGATCTAGGACTTTTCTGTGTCCTGTAAGGTAATTCTACGTTGTTGTCATTGCCATTGAAGATAATAATGCACGGATGCATCTCAGCACTAACCCAGCTACCCTGCTAAGTTAAAACTGCCCCACTTGTGCTGTTTCCTATCCGTCTTTTCTGCAATGGAATATTATATCATGATCGCATTAGTTATTCACCATAGGGATAGGCTGAAATTTATGTTTGAGTAGGCCCACTTGTGCTGTTTCCTATCCGTCTTTTCAGTGTTGTATACTGATGAATACACCTTCCAGGTAACAAAGCATCAGCTACTGTTCAGCCCTTCCTACTGCTCCATCTTGATATATTCCCAGATGCTGTTCAGACACTTAATGATGCACTTCGTCTGTTCTATACTCCCGAATCTTTGGAAGGATACAGAACAGCTGCTGGAAAGGTATCTACCTTGTCACCTTTGTGTTTAGTATATCTTTAGCATCCAATTTCATCATCACACAATACAAGTGGTGTCGTGAAATGCATTTTGCTAGCGAGCGACTTGTAAAGACGAAACTGCAAAATATGCATCTTCTAGTTTGTTTTACCTTTAGATGCATTTCTAGAATGCTTTTTATGAATTTTTTATTCGTGCCTCTATTTAAGGTGGGTTTATGACCTGTATGTTAACTTTTTTCTATTTATTAATGGGCTTTTCTCTTGAAATTGCTATAAGTTAAATTTAGCCTGACCTGTACTTTTCTCCATTTTATTTATTTTGGGTGCCATAGTGCAGCTCTTCTTTCATTAAACAGACACAGTAACTTATTGCAGTCAGCTACAGTTATAATGTAGTATCAAACTTGATCTTGCAGGCTGGTTTGGTGACAGCTAGAAAATCATTCAAGATACACGCGCTTTCAAAGATAATGATACTGCACTTGAAGAGGTTCAGTTATGGAAATCATGGGAGCACTAAAGTCTATAAGCCACTCCACTTCCCAAAAGAACTGGTTCTTAGTCGTGATCTGCTGAGCTCACCATCAACAGAGGTGATAATTTGCTCGACATGCATTTGTAAATGTGTTTTTTCCCCAACATATTTGTGACATCTTATATGGGTTTGTAGGTGCAGGCATGCTTTATGTCTCTAGTTGCATCTGTTGTCCTGATTGTTTGACATTTAGTATCAGTATCTTTAAGCATGAATTGAGTTTGTACAGCGTTGATTGGTACTACTAAATCACTTGATCTAACTGTTCGTCTTTGTTGTGTACAGGGTAGAAATTATGAGCTTGTTGCAACCATCACTCATCATGGGAGGGACCCATACAGGGGGCACTACACTGCTCACGCAAAGCATGCCAACGGGCAATGGCTTCGCTTCGACGATGACGCTGTTTTGCCCGTTGGCGAGAATGATGTCTTGCATGACCAAGCATATATCCTCTTCTACAAACAAGTCTGAAAGCACTACGTAGTTGATTAGTTGCTCTTTCGTATTGCTGCTGCTTAAACATCCAGATATACCATCTAACTATCGTCCTGTTAATGTAGCCGCCGAGTAACAGCAGAGTATTTATGTGAAGTACCTTGGTGCTGCTTGTGTTTATTATTATATATGCTTGGTCATATAGCGAGAGGGGGATTTGTCTTCAGCCCATTTTGAGGTTCTGTAAAATTCAACTGCTCATCATTGTAATGACCAGCGAAGTAATCATGGGATGTTAATCATGGTCACCCCTGTCGCTGACAGCTGCTGAAATGGTGGTGTGATTGGTTGCATGTGGCATGCCATGGTTCTCTGAATTGGTTGTTGAGAAGAAGACATTGCCATCAGCGTGCCATGTGCCCTGTCTTTGGGAGTGTCATCAAGAGGTGCAGGACAATGTCAGCTGGTGTATGTGCCTTGCAAGCATGATTAGCATGTTAGGAAAGCTTCAAATTATTTCATTTTGAAGGTGTCGTATCCCTTTCATGGATCCTGACGGCTGTAGGGAAGGTGTGCGGCCGACATGAACTTTTGTTGTGGCTTGCAAAGTATATGATTTATATACAGTGCGCCAACAGAAACCTGGCTTCTATGCAGTTGGTGGTTGAAACAATATTCCAAGAGAGGACAAGTGTGACGAATGGACTGAAGTGGTTGCCACATAGGCAATCTGATGATATCGCAAATGTACAGCAAACTGAGCTAATCTATTTGAGATTGTTGCAATCTGTTGTTAAACTATCATCGGTTATACCTGCTGGCAGACAGTGCAACTGGCAGTCATACATAGTATGTTGCTTTGTGGTATCAGGCAAATTCTGTTTTAGAACCACCATCCGTTACACCTGTTGGCAGGCGGTGCAACTGGCCGTCCCAAGGTTGCTTGGTGGTATTGCCGAGCAGGCAAAATTAGTGGTTCATGTTCATCAGTGTTTCCTACGGCCTCTGTTTCAAGGACCGATTCTTTTCAGTGGATGCAGACCGCTTGACATCCCAAAGAGTCATCTGGAGAGTGGATGGAGAGTAGCTTGGCACATGTACTGAATCATTGGACAAACTCAGTGCCATCTGGCTGGTATGGTGTGAGAGAAAAATATTATCACAACCTGTTCGGGAGGCCGTAAACAATCGTGGATTATTTACTACTGGCTGGTTTGATGTGAGAGAAAAATACTGTTCTGACTGAAAATTTACGATCGTTTACGAGCAAGCGAACAGGCCGGCAGCCTGTTTGGTTGACTGGTTCGTATCGTTGACTGGTTCGTATCGTTGCTGGTTCGTTTATGTGAAGAGAAGTTCTATTGGCTGGTTTATGTGAATAGTATCCATGTGAGAAGGTGGCCACCATTAATTCCAATCAACCCGCCTTGACCGATCGGACTACGTGTCGTCGGTCACTGTTCGGTTGGTTTGGTTCGATATCGTTCTTTGGTTAATTGAAAAAAATCTTATAAACTAGTTTGTGTGAGAGAAAAATACTATTTTAGCTAGAAATTTACGATCATTTATGACCAGACACAGCCAAAGAAACAGCCTCGATATCATTGGACAAACTGAAGCAATGGACAAACTGAAGCAAGGCAAGGTAGTACTGATGGAAAAGCAGAGCGAGGCAGAGACGGAAATGAAGCGACCTGAGAAATAGACCGGTCAACGATCGACTCATTTACAATAGTGGAGTACTAGTCCGATACCCAATACAGTACCTACCGACAATGGGCCTGTTAGCTTTAGAAGAGAAAAACACTATTTTAAATAAGAAAAAATAAACAGATTAAACCGGGTTTAAGGACACGTGAACGGACCGATCCCCCGCCAGCTTTCAATCCCATTTTCAACAGCTATACACACTGTAGTACTGTACTCTCTTGCACTCTTTGAGGGACTTGATGGTGCTCGTACCTCCTCCTGTACTGCCACTCACTAACCACTACCATTTCCCCAAGAACCATAAACCAGTTGCCCCCGTCTTCCTTCACCAACCGTTTGTAATCACCATGGATGATGGCATCGCCAAAGGCAGGGCGAGAAGTAAAGTCACCATCACCAAAGTTCAGCAGACAGAGAACACACTTTCCAACTCACAAATCAGAGAAGAGAACACACTGAAACACAGCAAAAAGATTTTGAGGAACAACGAACAAGAAGCACCTGGCGAAAAGAGTTGTGAAGATCAGACTGCTTGCCATCATATATTCAACGACATGGACATGGGAGGAGGAGGGAGGAACAGTACATCACTCCGTCTCTCTCTTTTTTTTTGGCTTGTTTTGTTTTCTAACACGGCTGGATGAACAAGAACTGAGCTGAAACAGGAGAGAAGCTAGCTACGAGGAGAGAGCACTGGCCGCCTTGGCCCGCCGAATCCCCCCTCTGGTTTTTTTAGTCGTATACACAGAAACAGACTAGCCTTGCTTGAGGTTACACTAGGCACAGCAGCCACGGTGGCAGCAGGAGGAGAAGAAGCGCTCTTCTTCTAGCGGGGCTGGTGGATGGCGCGGCGCGCGGCGCCCCTGGCGCCGGCGTGGTACGCCGGCTTGTCCGCGAGCCTCAGGTGCTGCTGCTGGGCGCACGGCGACGGTGCGGTGGCGACGGCCCTGGGGGAGCTGAGACTCAGCGCCCTGAGCACGTCGAGGTCGTAGCCGGGCAGCAGCGCCGGCGGCGGCTTGGCGACCTGGTGGACGTCGGGCGCGTAGAAGAGGTCGTCGGTGTCGACCATGTCGAGGAGGTCGACGGAATCATCGGGAAGGAGCGCGGCGACATCGAAGTCGTCCGCGTCGGCGGCAAAGGCGTCGGCAGCGGCGTCGTAGGCGGCCTCGTGCAGCTGGTGCTGGCGGAACCAGTGGTCGCGGAACCAGGCGGTGGTCTTGACGAGCTCCCACCACTCGGGCGAGAAGTCCTCCACCTGCCTGTACGCCGCCGGGATGAAGAGCTGCGCGTTCGGGTTGAGCGACGACGACGCCATGGCTGCCACGGTGCTCATCCTCCTCTCAGCTCAGCTTCGATCCTCGATCTGCTCCTCTCTCCCTGGAACACAGACAGACAGACACGCTGATCGAGTCAGGTCGAGCTCTTCTCGGCTGTTGGCTCAGATCCGGAACCGCACGGGGATGCCACCCGGTTCGTCAGCGCCACGGATCTGAGACAGCTCGCGCTAGCAGCAGCAGCCAGAAGGCAGTAGCTTGCCTTACCTTTTCCTCGCCTGGCGTTGCTTCGCTTCGCTTCGGACGTGCGGACGGACGAGGGGAAAGGAGAGGAAAGGAAATATCTCGTGCGGACCGCGGTTTCTGGGCGGAAACGGGGTGTTTTCGGGTGGTTTCTGGCTGCCGAGCCCGTGTGCGCCGTGCGGTGGAGAGGAGGCGGGTGTTTATAGCCACCCACAGCCAGTCAGCTGCCAGCTGAACTGAAGGGAGCGGAGCCGAGCCGTGCGGGTGTGGTCCGGGCTCGGGTCGGAAGGTCCGGGTGTGGGGGGGGGGCGTTGGGGCGCGTTGGGGGTGCGGATGATGGATGGATTGATGGGGACTGGGTCGGCTTGGCCTTTTTCTCGATCAAATCAGAAAAACGCGGTGTGGCCAGCTAGCTGGCCCGCGTCGGCTGGACGGATTTTCTATGGGCGCCGCGTTGTGTTGTGTGGGTGGTTTGACTGGACTACGAGTAAAAATTATCGGTTCCACCGGCACGGCAAGGCCGCTGGCAGCCAGAGAGGAAGGTTCCGTCATTCCCGATAAGGACGAAACCGGGAGGAGAGGGACGCACAACGTGTAAACCGTGGCGCGCCAACAGTCTGTCGTTAAAATAATATACAATTCGACCTACCCTACTGCCCTGAATACCATTGGTTCTTTGGCGTGATCGATATACGATGATTGGATTAAATGTAATGCCAGTTTTTTTTTGACAAAAAATGTAATACCAGGGTTGTTCCTCTTCTTATATACTCCCTCTGTCTCTAAACGTAAGTCGTCACGATTTGCATGTCGATAACTTTGACTCGATTTATAGAAAATACGTACAACATTTCTATCTACAAATAAATTTATTAAAAAACTAGATTCAAATATCTATCCAATGATACTAATTATGTATCATAAATATTAATATTTTTTAATATATATTTAGTTAAAGTTGTTTATCGAGAAACAAAAACGACAGATATTTAGGGACGGAGGAAGTGATATAACAGCCTCCGACCAAGTTCTTCAAGAAAAATACATTAATACATTGCACAATATTTTATTTAATAGTTGTGCTGAAAGAGATCCTGTTCTTATCAGGGAAAAATGAAAAAAAATGTTTGTTTCGAGGAACATAAAATGCTAGATATTCCAAAACAAATAAAGTGGTAGAAATGCCAACTATTTGGAAATGGATACTAGTTTTCTTGAGAGAGAAAAACACGATTCTTCGCCTCTTCGTTTTTGTTTGCTAGAGCCTAGAGGGTGTCATCATCATCGACAGGCCCGGCTCGAGGGGGGGGGGAGAGGGACGACCGTCCCAGGCCTAGGTCTCCGATGGGCCCCAACCCATGTATGTATACACTAGTAATACATAGACGCCATTAGCCAGATCCCTGACTCCTCGACTACTGTGATCACGGCGCGCGAGACGCGAGCCTGGAGTCATGCGAGTACATGACCTTTGTCGACGAAATATGGTCGGCAGTCTACCTAGGGGTATGCCCAAGGTAGTAGATTATCGGCAGACAGATGCGCAAGCTACAAACAAGACGGTGACGCAAGACAGACACGAGGTTTTATCCAGGTTCGGCCGCCAAGAAGGCGTAATACCTACGTCCTGCGTCGATTGTATTGTTGTATGTTAATGAGAGATGTTTTTAGAGGATCCCCGCCGCCTTATATAGTCCGGGGCGAGGTTACAGATCTCGAAAACTAATCCTAGCCGATTACAATTGCCATATGTGGCGGATAAGATTCCTATTCTAACCGACCAGATCCCGCTTGATCGCCAAATCCGCTTTAACTCCTTGCGCAGACTCCAACCGGGTTGGCTAGGCCGTGCGTCGTCTTCGGATGGACCGGGCCCATCGATCCGGCCGCCCAAAGCTTAGCCGTGAGGGTATAGGGGTTAATACCCCACAGTTAGTCCCCGAGCACCATGTATTATCTTTGCGACACGCCATTTCGACCTTCTCCCGACAAGTTATGCCCGAGTCCTTGACATCTTCCGACCACCGTCGTCCGGGGGAGAAATAGGTTGTCCAAAGAATGTATGGTGCTCTTAAGAAAAAAAGAAAAAGAATTTTGTCCCGGAAGTGTGCCCACTTGTATTTCGGAAAAAAAATGTAAGTGCATCTTGAAGCGTAGCATCTTTGATCATCAGAGGCCTAGTGGTCGAAAAACAAACACATTCACCGCAAGGTGAAGTGTGCCCACTTAGTCCCCGAGCCTGGTAGTAGGTGAAGTAAGCACGTGGTGCGGGGTCTAAAAAGAAATCCCAATTAAGTTGAGAACCCAATCGTCAGACAGACGATCGAGATGCACCGGCAGTGCATCGCATCGATGTAGTCCCCGAGCTTGCTTTGAAAGCGCGAAGTATGAGCCTTGTAGTAAGGTCTAAATAAAAGTCTCTCAACCGTATGTGAGTACAAATCACATGTAGCCGAGGAGAACAATTCTTGATCAATGGCGGGATATCCCCGAGCACACCAGGTTGTCGGAGCGATCTCGAAAACACGATAGTGATCGTAGTAGTCCCCGAAAACACGTTAGTGGTGAGGCGATCCCGAGCACTTTAGTGGTGCAGGCGATCCACGAGCACGGCAGCGGGTCTGTGCATGCGATCCCCGAGCGCAGCAGCAGTAGTCCGGTAGTCCCCAGCACGCAAATGAATGGTCAGGCGATCCCGAAAACACAAGCGAGTGGTGCAGGCGATCCCGAAGCACAAGCGTCCGGTGCAGGCGATCCCCGAGCACGGCGATGGTCCGGCGATCCCCGATCCATCCGTAGCGTGAAACGGGCATCTAAAACGCGAACGCCATTGATGTATTTATTCGGTGTATTTATTTATCTCTATTCTACGCCAAGTCCATCGACACGCTGGTCAAAAAAAAGCAAATGGGTATAGCACGTCATTCTCGTCTTCTTACTTTTTTACGCAAATAGATTAAACGACACTGTGTATGGAGGCGCGTCAGTGTGGGCCCTCTTACACTATTAACGAAGAGGCGCGTACACTGGTAACGAAGGAGCGCGTTTATTGGCGTAGATCTCGAGGTTGTGTGAACAACCGTCTGCGCGCAAGCGTCGCATCTCTCCCAATAATCTTAGGCGACGAAACAACGGAGCTCTTTGTTTTATATAATGTAGATCCGTAAGTTACTCACACTGCTCCCCATTGTCATTCGCCGCCGCAACCCTCTTCTTCCTCCTCCTTAAAACCCTATTCCTCCGAAAATCGCCGCCAATCCCTTGCCACCGCATCCACCCCTTAGTAAGGACGGACTAATGGCGAAGAGAGACGCCTGAAGAAAGGCGGGGTCATGGCGAAGGAATGGTGGAAGTCGCGAGCAATGAGCGGACCATCGAGGACCTCGTCGCCATGGGAGTGCTCCACAACAAGGCACTTTCATGGGATGGCGTCGCCGGAAGGAGAAAGCTTCCCCAATCCACAACCAGGTGAAATTGTGGTTTTCGAAGACTTCTTCAAACAAGGTTTCGGGATTCCAGTGCACCCTTTCCTTCAGGGTCTCTACTTGTACTACGAGATTGGGATTTGCAATCTGCATCCCAATTCGATTCTCCTTATCTCCACCTTCATTCATCTCTGCGAGTCTTATGGTGGCTTCCAACCCCATTTCGACCTCTTTTCGCCACACATGCTACATCTTGGAAGAAAGGGAGCGGTGGCTCGAAGATAGCCGGAGGCGCCTACCTGAATCTGCACGACGACATGAAAGCACAATACTTGCACTGCCCCTGGAACACCTCGCTGGATGAGTGGTACAAGAAGTGGTTCTACATCCGTGAAGAGCCGAACACCATCACCCTGTGCGACGTGGGACTGATTCTAGAGAAGAAGAATAGCTGGATAGAAAAGCCCAAGAACCTAGAGCAGATCGCCGAACTGCTCGGGATGATCCCGTGGGGAAAACTAGATGGCCCAAGTGTGGTCGGGAACTTCATCAGCCGAAGGATCCAGCCCTGCCAAAAGAGGGTTCATCCAGGCTTCGAGTACCAGGGAAGCGCCGATCCGACAAGGACCAGGAAGGAGCCGCTCGACAAGACGGAAATCAAAGCTAGGATTGGGGAGCTATTCAACCTGGCCGATCCCCATTACGTCAGGCTGAACGACATCGAACACGCCTTCAAGCTGGCCCGACCTCCCCCAAAGGTAATTGATGCCTCCTTTTAACTGTAGAGTCATATTGTAATAAGAAATTGACTGTTGCCCCCGCTTTGTGTCGCAGTGCAATGGTCGTGACCGGGCAGCAGTGTTCGTGTCGCCTCCCCCCGGTGTAGATTGGCCGCAAGCTGCCGACCCAGCCGCCCAGACCAGCGCCAGGACCGACGACGTCCACTGGGCGACACTCGAGACTGCGGAGGACGCACCGACCAGAGCCGCTGGCAAGCGTCCGGCGGCCAGCAAACGACGCCAAGTTATCTTCCCCCTGTCGGACGACGAAGCAGAGGATGCGGACATCTTCCGGCTCGTCCCTCGAAAGAGGAGAAGACAAATGGGGTCTTCGGAGCAGGGTGGCTCCTCCGTGCCAGCAGTGGTTGCATCACCGACCACTGCAACACAGAGTACAAGCGAGGGAAACATCGGGCATCAAACCCCGATGCCTGTACTGGAGGTGGAGAAAGACCCGGTGGAGCCTACCGAGCACGCGGAGCAGGGACGGTCAAGGCGACGCACCTTTGCCACATCATTCCACAAATCGAAGCTGTAAGTATCTATATCTTTGATGTAAGCTTGTAATTTGCATTGGATACTATTATCTTCTGAAATTGTCTCTGATATATT